TCCACCCCTTTATATAGTCGCAGACCTATAGTCTGGGGTACTAGTACGAGGGGTCCTCTACACTGCCTCAGTGATAAAGATAGGTGAAACACACCAGAGCTTAGCTGCTGCGAGCCAGGTAATTGGTGAGCTAAGAAAGCATAGGTGAAATACCTGAAATATGAAATGAGAACCAAAGTCCTGAATCGCAGATCCTGGGGTTAGAACTTGAGAACCCTAGAAGCTATCCTCGATCACATAGTGACTGATATCACCTGACCGTAATTGGGCATCTCTTCTAGGCGCTTGTTCATGGGGATCACGTGACCATGAGCGACAGTACGTTTCATAACAAAAACCTGAAAATCATGAAGATGTTGGTCGGAAATCTGATGCTGTAACCACCTGCAATTTTAGCTCATTTGATATTCATTACTTTCATTAGGAAAGGACGGTTACAGAGACATCATCTTCACAAGACATATCAGGTCAGATGAGCAGCAGTAGCAGATGCTCTTAATGGCTGAAAGCCCATAACTGCTATTATAGAGACATCAAAATAGATGTTTCGCGCATTCAATGTTTCCCCAAAGATGATGTCCCTGAAGAATTGCTTGCCGTTACATGTCAAAATGAAGATGTCAGTATATTACAGACTGAGAACAACAAGTATGTACCTTCATACATCGACATGGATACAAACGATCATCATGTTGCAGATGGTTAGCCATTTATGCACAAATGTCATGTTATATAAACACTGATGAATATTTGCATCATTTCAGATAGCGGTGGAGATGTTATACCACTCTAGTTTGTAACCAGCACTGACATGGATTCAATTGGCATGTCCATGGATGAATTAATGATGTGGAGGCTTGAAACTACATGGCAAAATGAACATAAGAGGCGTTATTTGGTGCAGCATAGCCAACATCCGGTGCGAGATTTAGGCTATCCTCTGCAGTGAGACATGAATGATTTGAATCAACATGAACATAATTTGTTCAAGAAAGTGTTCCCCACCTTGTTTCCATATGGTGTTGGTGGCATTGAAGCCGATCGACTGGTCCATGTATCTTTCATTGAACATGTTCGATGGTGTTTGCAGTTTCATAATGGACATTTTTGTCAACATCATTCATTCCCTTTTCTAGTGTTTGGAATCAAACAAAGGAGACAGGCTCTTACATCTGTGAAAATCCAAATCAATCACCATGACTTTGAAGCGGACATGCAGATTTTGAGACATATCACTGTAGATAACCTTCGTCAAGCAGCAAGAGAAGAGGCTGCAAAGATGTCTATAAGTAACAGGGCCATGCGCTTGCTGAAGAAACATATTCATGCTGTGGGTGGATGGGTTATGGAATCTGATCAAGCATGTTATCAGCTCAGGTCGAAGATATGGTCTACATCCATTTACCTATCACCACGAACCCTGTGGATGACGATCAATCCTGATGACTTACATGATCCTAATTTGCTGGGAAGCGCATTGACATGAAAAACTTATCTGCAACTCACTGGGTGAAACAATCAATAAATTGAGGTGAAAGATGGTAAAGATATTGAAGAAAAAGTTCAAATCTTTTCAGCATCTTTACCGTCAATTTGTGATAAAAGTATTCAAAATATTATTAACATCTTTTCTTGCTAAAGATGATGAAAAGATTGGAAAAAGATTGGGTGACATATTAGCAATCATTTTTTCAATCATTTCATCAATCTTTCAGACAAAGTTATGATAAAAAGTTTTAAAATCTTTTTTTATTGTTTTCTTATCAAAGATAATGCACATATTGTGACCATGTCACATTATTATCATTCTACACCAAGCTAATATTAGAATTTAAAGGTCCATACTCAGGTCCAAATGTCTCTTGAAGCCTTAGTACCAGCATAGTATTGATCTCTACATCTTAGCACTAGCATAGTACTAGCATATGCTACTAGTACTAACCTTCAGACTGTAGTACTAACTTAGCACTAGCATAGCACTACTTTTTAAAGCCTTAGTACTAGCATAATACTAATGTTTAGATGGTAGTACTAGCATTTGAACCTTAGTACTAGCTTAGTACTAGCATAGTACTAACCTCCAGACCTTGGTACTAGCTTGATACTAGCATAGCACTAGCATTTAGACCTTAGTGCTAGCATAGTACTAGCCTTGAGACCTTAGTACTAGCATTTAGATCTTAGTACTAGCATAGTACTAACCTTTAGACCTTAGTACTAGCATAGTACTAGCGTAGTACTAACCTTCAAACCTTAGTACTAATCTGCAAATCTTAGTACTAGATTAGTACTAGCATAGTACTAACCTTCAGACCTTAATACTAGCATAGTGCTAATATATAAACCTGAGTATTAACCTCTGTATCTTAGTACTAGCTTGTATATGCAAACAAGAGTGTGCCATAGTCACAATATTTTCATCATCTTTGATCAAAAAAGAAGTAAAAAAAGATTTTAAAACTTTTCATCATAGTTTTGTCTGAAAGATTGTCAAATGATTAAAGAAATGATTATTAATCTTTCCTCCAATCTCCTTTCAATCTTTTCATCATCTTTCACAACAAAAGATGTTACCAATATTTTAAATACTTTTATCACAAATTGACAGTGAGGATGCTTAAAAGATTTTAACTTTTTCTTCAATATTTTTACCATCTTTCACCTCAAATTATTGATTGTTTCACCCAGTGAGTACTCTAGGACCAGATGTAAAATGATGTGCGAGCAATGTTGCACATGATTCCATGGCTGCTGCGCAATTTTTCAAGTATCTTGTCAATGCAATTGTAGAGAAGTTGTTTCAGATAAGAGTTACAAACCATGGAAGACGAGTCAAAAGCAAGATTGGGGTTATCGGTCGTGTGAGCAGTTATTTTAGAGTGGTAGAAAGCCAAGGTCATGGAACTCTCCATCTTCATATGTTCGTATGGCTTCGCGGTGCACTGTCAGTGAATGAGATGATCAATGCTTTAAGTCAAGAAGACTTCCGAGAGAAAGTGCACACGTACATTGCAAACACAATCCATGCTCATGTAGATGGACTGGATAATGAGTCGTCTATTGGATCATGTGCACCGAACCTCAAATTGCATACGGAAGGCCACCGGATCCTAGCTGGGGGAGCTACAAAGAAGATTTCATTAGATTCGAGAAGAGGGTAGCATGGTCAAAGCAGGTTCATGAATGCGAAGCGAATCGTTGCCTGATGAAGTACAGAGGGTGCAAGTGAGGCACCCCCTGGGCTCTGCCTGATGTCAATTGGGTAGATGAAGCCAGAAGATGGAGACGAAAGCGTATGTTCAGGTGTTTCAACTCATGGCAACTGGACATATCAGTCGCAGTATGCTGTAACAATGACATCAAACTCCTTATGAATGGCAGAGACACAGGCAACATTACCTTCTATGAAACTAACTATGCGAGTAAGAAACAGGGGCGAAGCTATAATATGTCAGCACTGTTTGCGAATTCACCAGCTTTTCAATTGGAAGACAATCTGTATTTGCAAGACATCAGAAAGCATAATCAAATGATGTTGTTCTGGTGTATACATGCATTGAACAGAGAACAAGAAGTTGCAGCACTAATGGTCATAATGCTTCTGATGGGGTGGGAATTTGTATTCAGCTTGCATCAGTATGAGATCATTTATTGGTCAACTTTTGTGTAATATCTATTGAAGATTGACAGCAGTTTACGGTCAATGAATAAGTGAGTTGAATCAATGAACCATTGAGCACAAAGTGAGAACTGAGTGTAAATATATTACAGCATATCCGTTCGTCCACCACAATCAAACAATAGTGGTGAATCCATGGACGATCATGCTGACGTACATCGTTAAAAAGTACATTCACATGTTTGCATTGACAAATTGTTCATAGCAAGATGATGACAAAAATGTCAGTATTCGTTTCGACAACCAACATTGTTTGAACGTGCAAAGCCAGGTTGTCGATTATCAATTTCGAGGAGATGAGTCGAGACACACAATGTGTTGGAATTTTTTGTGAACACCTATGAAGAGAAGTTAACGAACAGAAGCGAGCATGCACTCAATAATGGAAGAGGACGTATTTCCAACATGTGATCGCGATATCGGTCCAGGCATCCATTTCACAACAACGTAGTCTGAATATTGCGAACCGAAGGGCATAACACCCTACCTAACTTCATCGGAAAGTATTTTCCAGGTCAAGATTTGATGGATCCCCATGCCAGAGTTATCTATTATGCATCCATGTTACTGCTTTTGAAGCCATGGTGATGGTTACAAGATCTCTGAGAGCATGAACAAACATGAGAAAATGCATATGAACAGTTCCTGCATGGCACATCAGATGGTATCTGAAGGATTATTTCAAATATACAACATTTTTACTGATGCAAATTGAGTGCATTAGAGCATGCAAAGAGGAAAGATGACACCAGTCATGTGGTACCATCCTCAGACAAGGAAAGTGAAGTCGATGCAGATTTTTGTGGCGAAGTCAACGCTGGTGACAATAGGGTGAACATGTCCAAACGTGATGAGGAAATGCTCACAGAGGAGTTAACGGATGCTTTGGAAGTGACCCAGAAACATTTGCATGGGCTCCTAGTGGTAGAGGCAGGACAAATTGCTGGTATATTCGATGATTTGAAACAGACGATGTGTCTCTTCTTAGCACAACGTGCAATGTGTAATGACCTGGATCAATTACAGAGATGGAAATTGGACCTGATTAAGCAATCAAACGAGCTTACACTGTCCATTCCATCAATGTGGATGACAATGAAGAGACCAGCGATGTCGAACATTATCAAGGAAATGTCGACAGTGATCTGACTGTGGACATGATGGTCTCACATCTGATGACTGAATCTCTGGAAGCGTTAGATCACTCACAACTGCTCGATGATCAATGAAGGGCTTACGAGATCATTTCATGGCACCTGAAACATACAACGTCAGGAAACTGACCTCCGCAGTTTATGATGTTGATACATGGTGAAGGAGGCACCAGAAAGTCGATGGTCATCCAGACAATAGACAGCACCTTCACCAGAATGGGAGTGGAAGAATGGCTAGTGAAAGCAGCATATACAGGGATAGCAGTGTCAGTGATTGATGGCAAGACAACCCATACAATAGCAGAGATCAACGTTAATGGTCATCCGATGTCTGCGAAAAAGAGAAAAATGTTAGCGATGTACTGGGGGCAGAAGAGATATCGGTGATATCAAAGGAGATGTTAGCCAGGATAACGTAACATCAGATCAGCAAGAGCAGGGTCTGACCATGAAGATGAACTGTTTGGAGGCATCAATGTGATATTATGTGGTGATTTTCATCAGTTCACCCCCGTGTTGCAGCCACCCACTTCGACACTGTACTATTTGATCAAAATGGTCAAGAAAGTGTAGGAAGATAGTCGAGCAGGAAGATTGTTATACGAACGTTTTTGTACGGTCATCATACTGAAAGAACAAGTTTGCATGATTGATCCAGTATGGTTGAATTTTCTACGGCACTTATGTGCTGGCAATGTCAGAGAAGCCGACATGCGCATGCTGCAGGAGCTCATTATCAATGACGGAAACTGTCCACAATCAGGCTATGACTCACCTCCGTGGAGCTTGGCTACACTAGTCACTCCCTGCCATGGTGTATGTGAAGCATGGAATAATGCAGCACTCAACTGGCACTGCAACTGAACAGGTGAAAGGATGTTTATATGTATAGCTGAAGATGACATGAAAGGACGTGCGTTAAATGTTCACAAAAAAATAGCTTTGGTGAGGACAGAACATAAGCCAGCAAGACATCAGAAGCGACGACTATCACGGAAGATGAAGATCGCTGTCAGTATGAAAGTCATGGTGATGCTGAATCTGTCAACAGACTTGGATATTGCAAATGAAGTGCAAGGCATGATGGCAAAGATCATACTGCATCCAGAGGAGTCAGAACACGGGGACAATACCATAGTCAGGTTGCAACACTTACCAGCATACATCATTGTCAAGTTGAACAGGACAAAGGTTGCGAAGCTAAAAGGACTGGAGGAGCAGGAAATTCCAATCGAGCCCACACAGCAAATGTGGTCGCTTAATGTTGCCAATGTAGGTGCCGAGAACCAACACGTCAAGGTCACAATGCATCAGAGACAGTATCCAATCATAGTAGCTTATGCATTGACAGATTATCGATCGCAGGGACAAACTATGAAAAATATGTTCATTGACATGGCGAGGCCTCCGACAGGAAAGCTGAGCCTGTTCAATTTATATGTTGTGCTTTCGTGCAGTCACGGCCGGAAAACAATATGGATACTCAGGAATCTCAATGAAAACATGTTTCATGAACCTCATGACGAGAGATTGTTGATGGAAGATGAATGATTGGCTGACTTAGATCATAAAATGATGGCATGATGGAATGAAATTGATCGCCACATGCATCATTCCAACATATAGCACAGCGTATACTTTACACAACTAATTTGTATCATGCAATGATTGGCCATAAACAACGATGGAACATAACTATGATCCATGGCATTAACATTCAAAAACAGCATAAACAGAACATATAGAAAATATAAACTGCAGCATGCACACGCGATTGCTAATCACAAAATGATATGGTCAATAGAACACCGCTGGATGTACAAGGCACATTCACCATACGTATTCAAAATCCTCATCCTGATGACATCTATAAGGGCCATCAATAGCCAACATGCATTGGCACCGGACTAATGAACTCTATCCAGAAGGAAAACAACATAAAGTAGGCACCAGACAATGGAAAATGGGAGAACGAACTATGTGCCAGAATGCGTGATCACAAAACAAAAGAGCAGAACACCAAATGGATATGCGCACAACAATGTAGACGTGTAGGACAAGGAGGAGCAGACAGCGTTGGAGAGGATGTATAAATTAAAGAGGAGCATAACACCATTGAACACTGACCACCACAAGAACATATGCACAAAACGATGACGTAAAGCATATGACAGTGACGAGAGAAATGGAAACAGCTAAAAAAAGGTGAACAATGGAAAGTGATCGATGGACACAAACAAATACAAACTCCTGTGTAAAAAATTGCATCACCATTGTGCTCGGAAGAAACCTTGCAGTCGCAAGGTAATTTCTATAATATCATCCATTCACGTGGCCTAAATTCTGTTTGTGCCACAACAAAAGACAGGAAGAAATTCTATGTTTTGCTTCACAGATCCACCAGTGAGCAAGCTCTGGTCATGAATCTGCATTGACATGGAGGAATGCTGAGAGTATCTTGATGCCCACATATATTCAGCCCATTATTGAACTGTACTATCTCAGTTCATCTTTAAAGCCGGAATTGACCTTCAAGTAGCTTGGATGATTGCTTCCGATGCTGAAATGGAGACCACTCCAGAGCTAGCTGAGCCACTTGATGACATCTATGGACATTGAACATTTGATGCTGCTCAATGTGTGAAATGACGACAAGATCTTTGATGTTAGGTGACACAATTTAAACTTTAGTTCCCCGGATTCTCGTTCATCCAGTATCACAAATTTTGTACTTCGAGATAAAACTTGTGCTCGGTGTGCATAGATGCAGATTTTCCATTCACTTGAAGCATATTGTTCAGTGTGCAAAGTTATGAACTTCCTGTTAGAATCTGGACACAGAGCACAGATGTGAGAGGCCCCAGTGCGACCTGCGCCACTGGCATGGGAGAGTAGTAGTGCACATGTATATAATAGAGTGCAGCTACAATGAGACGGGTCATCGGTTTGGCCCAGTGGAGCCATCTTCTAGAGAGCAGGTGACTCTCAAACTCCTGGCCATGCAGTGGGCTGGCTGGGAAAGTCACCACAAACTGATCATCATTGACCAAGAAGCACTCACCGCAATCAACGAGAACCACCACTATGAGGTTCCTGCTGGGGACCATGATGCTGACTGGTGAGTGATCCAGTCAGCAGGTCAAGGGCTGAGAGCTGAAGCAGGTCACCAAGGTGCGAAGGCTGCAGGGCAGCTGAGAGACAGGTGTGGCTGGGCAGGGGTGAGATTAAAAGGTCAAGGGCAGGAGGGTGAGGGCCAGAGGGTCGACCGTGGGGCGCCGCTGTGGTGATACAAGACACCAGGTGCAGGGGGCGGGCACTGCACGAGGGTGAGCCTGCCAGCAAGGCAGAGGCAGAACAGGGCATCAAAGGGCAGGCCAAGCAGATGCCAAGTGAGACAGGCTGGCAGTCCGACAAAGTGGCACAGCCACAGGACGCGAAGCACTGAAGAAGCTGAGCGGGCGCTTGCAAGGGGTGTGCACAGAACCAGAAACTGGGATCTGAATCCAAGGGGCACTGGGACTGGCGTGCAGACTGAGGTGAGCGACGAGCGCATGGGGGCGCTATAGGAAGTCACCAAAAATGGACACGTATGAGATGTGTATGGTATGGAGACCAGGACCCAAGATCAGGGGGCACCAGGACTGGCATACAGACTGAGGTGGGCAGGGAAGCACATGGAATGGAGACCAGCATCCCTGGGGACAGGGAGTGCGGTACAGGTGTGTGGCCCACAATGGGATAGACGCAGCAGTGGCTAGGTCGAGGTGTTAGAATCTGGGCATGGAGCGCAGATGTGAGAGGCCTCGGTGCGACCTGCGCCACTGGCGTGGGAGAGTAGTAGCGTGCGTGTATATAATAGGGCATGGCTACAATGGGACGGGCCATCAGTTTGGCCCCGTGGAGCCATCTTCTAGAGAGTGGGTGACTCCTGAACTTCTGGCCGCACAGCGGGCTGGCTGGGAAAGTCAACACAAACTGATAACCATTGACCAAGGGGCACTCACTGCAATTGATGTGAAACCACCAACTACGAGGCTCCTGCTGGGGGACCAGGATGCTGGCTGGTGAGTGATCCAGTTGGCAGGTCAAGGACCGAGAGCTGGGGCAGGTTGCTGAGGTGTGAAGGCTGCAGGGCAGCTGAGGGACAGATGCAACTGGGCAAAGGTGGGATCAGGAGGTCGAGGGCAGGAGGGTGAGGGCCAGAGGGTCGACCATGAGGTGCTGCTGCAGTGATACAAGACACCAGGCACAGGGGGCAGGCACTGCGTGAGGGTGGCCCTACCAGCGAGGTGATGGGTGGAGCAGGGCGTCAAAAGGGCAGGCCAAGCGGATGCCGAGTGAGGCTGGCAGTCCGATGAAGTGGCACAGCCACAGTACGTGGAGCGCTGAAGAAAAGCTGAGTGAGGCGCTTGCACGGAGTGCGCACGGAACGGAGACCGAGACCCAAATCCAAGGGGCATTGGAACTGGCATGCGGACCAAGCGCATGGAGGCGTGTTGGAATATCAAGCCTAGCTATACTTAAGTATGGACTTATCAGCTGGTATTTTCTTTTATGTACTTATTGGGCATTAGTGCCCATAAGACTTTTCACCTGCTTCGCTCGTTCTGCAGGCTTCAGTCCTTCTATCATCAAGGAGCTGAAGCCTGTGAGTACCGATACTGTCCTGCATGAATGCAGCTTACATACTAATGTATCGTAGTTGACTCTAGATACATACTACTAATATAGTCCTTCTATCATCAAGGAGCTGAAGCCCTTGACTCTAGCGTGTGTTCTCTCATCCACTCCTTTTCCATCCGTTTACAGGTTATGAGCCCCGTCGGCCATTACGAGATGTCACTCAGCAATCACGAATCATCAGTCAGGATCCCCCACCTTGCGGAAGATGGATCGAACTGGGTGCTCTACAAGGAGCAACTCAGGTCTGCTGTGATGGCGAAGAAGCTGGCACGATATCTCGATGGCCGCGACAAGGAGCCTACTGCACCCATGGCTCCAGGGGTGGATTCTGATGCAGATGAGGCATACGCGGATGCGTACGACACTTGGGCAGCTAGACATGAGGCGATCAAAACACTTCTGTACCAGACACTACCAGAAACGCTGAAACTCCGGATTATCCCCGAGAAGAAGGCGTCCGGAGCTTGGAAGATAGTCAATGCTGAGTATGACAATCGCGGTGACTTCGTCCAGGCTGAACTGCTCCGACGCATGCATGCTCTCTGCTGCACCAAGGAGAAGGACCCTCGACCAACCCTAGATAAGCTCCAGAAGCTTAAGAGTGTTCTTGACGACAAGCAATACTGCATGCTCATCATCAGCTGCCTCCCAGAGTCTTATCACCCCATTGTATGCACCATCCTCTCAGCTGCTCACCTGGCTTCCATCCAGGCTACTGGCACCACCACAACTCCCACTCCCACCATCACATTCGATGAACTCTTACGCCAGATCTACTCAGTCGCACGCAACGAGTTCACCCTGGATGAGTCGCAGAGCACTGCAGAAGACTCCGCGCTCATGATGAGGTCAGGTGGCAAGGACATGAGGAAGATGTGCAGCAATTGCAATAAGGCCAGCCATCTGAAAGCAGACTGCTGGGCGAAAGGTGGTGAAAAAGAGGGCCAAGGGCCACGGAGCAAGAACAGAGGGAGGAAACATGACAAGGGCTCAGGGGGAGCCAGTGCAAATGTGGTGACAACAGGCAATGATGAGGCATTCGCATTCGCCATTGCGACCGGTTTTTTGAAGGTCAAGGGAGCGAAGCTCCCGAAGCTCACCCAGATCCTCGATTCAGGTGCAAGCCGACACTTCGATCTGGTACGCTCGAATTTCACCACATTCCAGGAGATCGAATGCAAGCCGATCACGTCAGCTGACGGCCGTGTCTTTTATGCCACCGGTGAAGGCAACGTCTGCATCGCTATTATGCACAAGGGAAAGACAATCAAGTTTACCCTATGCGACGTTCTCTATGCACTGTCTATGCCTTTCACACTCATCTCCATCAGCCGCACTACAAAGGCTGGCTACGCCATCCATTTCAAGCGTGACGGGTGCCATGTCATCTCCCCTCGAGGTATCACCGTGTTTGTAGCCACCGAGCGCAACGGTCTGTACCCGCTACCCGGATCACCAGTCCCATCAGCACCTGCGAAGGAGACAGCGTTAACAGTAATGCTATCACTCACCGAGTTCCATCAACGCATGGCCCATGCCTATGCCCCTGCCCTCAAGAAGATGGTTGAGGCTAACGTCGTCACTGGAGTACGACTCGAGGACACAACCACCGAGTTCTGCGAATCTTGCACAAAGGTGAAGCAGACCCGTGAGTCATTCCCGAAGGCACACTCAAGTCCGCAAGTGACCGTGTACAGTCAGTGCGTGCACACGGATGTCTGGGGGAAAGCGCCGGTGAAGTCCCTCGGCGGCAAGGAGTACTATGTCTCCTTCACCGATGACTACTCAGACGAGGCAGTTGTATGCCCTATTGCCTGCAAAAGTGATGTACTCACACAGTACAAGGCCTACAGCTCATGGGTGAAGGC